GGAAGCGATTCAGTCTCATTTAACGATAATTCCTAATGGATTCATGTTAAAGGTTGAGAAACACTGTTATCATAAATGTGGTTGATCAATTGATTGAACAGTTGGAAAATAAATCGAATTCAGGTTCGCCAGAAAGCTCGAGAATGCGTGCGTATCGACAATAGAGGAGGGTATGATGACGAAGGATCTAGCGATTTGTATATATGGACTGAAGGGTGCCAGTCCTGACAAATACCTTCACACAGAACAATTCCTCGATGCCATTGACAGGAAACTGCATTCGTTGATGAGTAGTTAATTGCATTTGACGTGTCATAAATTTTATGCACATTTGAAGACGACTTTCTCATAGTCTAAAAATTCCATATTGCATCTGTTTGAAAATTTCTCATTACTATAAAAATTCCACCCAATTTTATTCCATCCTTAAAGTTGCTCTCTGATTTTCGTAGGAAATTCGAAGTGAGCGAATCCATCGATTGTTCTGTGCAAATATTGAGAGGCTCATTTCACTGTGAACTCAAACTTCAGTAATTATTCCAGTTTTATTCATATCTCATCTCTCTCCTGATTCTACGCTCACGATCAGTCTTCCAGTACCTTCAAATTCGTTTCATTTTGCTTCGATAAAATCGTATGCTCATTGTTTGAAGTGTATTTTCAGTAGTGTATTTGATGTGTCTTAAAATTTGAAATTATTGTTTGAATCTTCAATTATCATTTGAATAATTATCTGAAATGTTATTTTATCAGTTTGATTTCTGCATTATAATTGCTGGATTATAATTTGCTATTTCATTCGATTTTGAGTCATTTGCATTTCATGATCATCTCCAAATGAGTGAATGAGTATTCAGTTGTTCGATGTGTTTTCCTCAACTTCTCTTTGTACCTCTACGATGTTGTAGCGCACTTAAACACATGTGCTTCTAATCATATGCGTTTCACCTCTGCTGCAGGTTTTGAATTTTTTGTTTCGGCCGCCTTAATCATAATGTTATCATCCACAAATCGTGCCATTCTTTTTTAAATTAATTGCCTTTTTGTTACTGACAGATGTTTTCCTTTTCTATGTCCATTTTCCTATTTTCAGTCGTTCAACTTCTATTTCCCACCTCCTGACCATTTTTGTTTCGAAAATTTCCGTACGGTTTTAGAATTCCGTTTTTTTTTCAACTGAATTCAATGAGAGCACGTTCACTGAAACGTTCCATTGTCTGAAACGTATCAGTGCGTTAATATTGAGGAATTTTATCAATTTATAGGAACGCATTTTATGGAGTTGTTTAATTCAAATGTTGTATTGATGAATAAAATTTATTCATTTTGAAAAGTATTAATTTCGTACAATGCAAAGTACGTGATAGTCGTTAAGGCGTGAGGAGTCGATTGGTCTGAATACTACAAAAATGCAGAGAGGTATTGACAAGAGACCAACTGTATCTATTAAGAGTGTTGCAAATTTGTGGAAACACAATTCAGGAGTTGTTTAGTTTATTCATATTGAAGAAAAAGGAGGCTGAAGGTTTTCGATGCTGAAGTTATACAGTTGCTTCACCGAACAGCAAGAATAATAAAAAACATTAAAGTTAGTGGTGAAAAAGATGTTTATCGTATAAAAAAATCAGCTGAAATTGGTCTAAATATGGTAACTCGAAGATAATCACCTCGAAGTAAGGAATTACATTACTTATGACTTGAACGATACGGAGATCATGAAGTGATCGATTATTCAACAAAGTCTGAATTTCATATTCAGCTGATCTACAACTTAGCTATGAACTCAATATTCAGGTTTAGCTTGAGTTTTAGTTTACTGCGATTTTTAATCAAATCTTCATGAATACATACTGGTCGATAGAAATGCGATGTGTCAAACTTCATACAACGGTTTCAGTGATGATTTTGAATGGTAATGCATTGTACAGATTTGTTTGAACTATTGTGAGGATTGTTGAAACAACCTCCATAATATCCTCATGAAACCTGTGGTAACATAATATCATTGTGTGATTGAACGATTCGGAGGTCGTTAAGTCAGAAAGAAAGTTCTGAGATGATACTATGATTTGGCATTGTGAAAGGAGTTCGAAACCAGGTTGTTAGAAAGTGATTATTGATAGTTGCTCTTCTAAAACAATATTTGACAAAATCAAGATTATTGTAGGAAGAGTTTATGGATAAGTACGGATTTGGATGGGTTAGTATGAGGAGATGGGGGGATTTAAAGTTGATACTTAGGGGATAGATGATAGTCATTGAAATGAAGATTTGAAATAATGAAGAAAGGATTTGAAATCCGTGTATGAGACATATGTTTTGAAGTGTTGCAAGCTGTGAAGTGATTGACTGATGTGACGCGTTTATTAATCATTATCCATTATTATGAATAATCATTCATTCCTATTATTAATTATTATAATTATTAAGTATAATTAAGTATTATTATTTATATTATTATTATCATCAAATATTATAATTTTTAATGCGAGACACAAATACCATGATCATGATGACCGTTCAGAATTCCTTGTTTGAGCAAATGAATTCGTTGTGTTACCTGTTGCGTCTATTGTACCTGTTTCTGTAGCACCTATTTAGTATTCGTTGTTCTTCTTATAACTGTTATTACTATCATTCTTCTATCGTTCTCGTTATTTTCACTGTAATCGCTGTTCAATAATGTTTCTTGTTTTTATAGTCATTGTTCTGCCAATGCTTATGAAACAAGTGACAGTTGAATTGCAGTTGTTTATTTCCGGAATTATTCTTTTATGAAACTTTTAGAAGGTTCTTTTGCAAATATTTCAGTACAAAGCTTTCAGAGAACACAGAAGTGAATAAGAAGAATAAGGACGCTAAGAATATATCATTGTGATCATTAGTCGAAAACGGATCACTGAAACGAAACAGTGATCTTGAATCATTGAAATGATTAGTAACCGGGTGCGAGACGAGCTGGTGGGCAGTGATCGCAGCTTCCAGGAGCACCAGCTGCACCTGGATTTCCTGGACGACCTTGTTGTCCATTTTGTCCAGGTGGTCCTAAAATATGCTCCTTCTAGTTTTTCAACCGCGATGATCGACTGAGAACAATTTTCAATCATACGTTCATAATTTGGCAACCGTAGACTA